CCGGGGCCGTTCGGAGCCTCCGGACGCGTTTCTGTCCCCTGGGCTGCGCGTCGGCTTACATACGAATACTTTTTTTAAATTATTTTTTCAATCCCAATTCGTCTTGTCAGATTTGTCAGTTTTGTGTAGGATCAGATTAATATGAGAGTGGATTAAAGTATTCTGCTAACGGGGAGATGGTGTATTCAAACAAATAAAAGACTTGCTCAGGTTGAAGACTTGATCAGGCTGAAAAATGCTGGCATAATTACTTCTGGCATATAATAGAAAAGTTTAGAAGGTCTTGCAATGGGCTGAAGTAATTAAAAATGTACTTTCATTGCCTGCCCTTTAGATACTTAATACCGAAACTTCTGAAAATTTCACTTAGGCTTCTGAAACTTATGTAAATGTGATGGGATTAGTATTATGAGTGGGGAGGGGAAGGGGGAATAAGGTAGCTGTCTGTTCTTTCTGTAAAAAAGAACGTGCCTTGTTCTCCACTTAGGGAGCGCAAAGGAAGCCGTAACTCATTCAGACTTCAGCCCCTGTGGAGGAACTTGTCAGCCTCACTGGGTAGGCTGGATAAGGCTTTTGAATGGCATTTGAGTATTACAATCCATCTAATTCAGGTTGCTTAGTGTTAATATCCTTCATGGGAGAAGTTGAACTTAAATGGGAGTATGTACTTTTCAATATACAGAGATTAGAAACACCAAGGTTCAAGCATGCACAGACTTATTAGAAACATAATGTGCCTGCTGGGTGTTGTAAATTTACAGGTATAACCTGGAGGCAAGAAGTAGGAAGAATAGGATGGGTTTTTTTGGCAGAATGACAGAGAAACTGGCACTTCCTGTTTTCTGTTTATCACATGTATAATGACATACAAAGTGTGGGTGGTAAAGCTCCTGTAAGAATGTGTACTACTGGTGCACAAGTGCAGTGCTATGGATCAATTCAGAAAGAAAAAAAATCCGGTGGTAGAATAGTCTGTTTATGAAGTATATAACGTTCATACTGTTAGATTTTTATAGGAGAAGAATGGTGAAATTACTAATATGATTAGATTCTAATAAATAATAAGGGTAAAATCAAGTAAGCCCACCAGTTTAAAAGTTCTGATGGTTTTGTTTGGATTGCTTGCAAATGATGTGTATACACTAAACACTAATAGAAGCACTTTTTTTCCCACTATGTATTTACGGGGAAGGGGTGTTGAAGTGAAAAGAGCAAAAATCAAATTTGTCACTTGCTTAATATGTCTTGGGAACAGCCTTTGATAACAAGATCAGATTGACTGCATTGCTTTCCTTTGTTACAGGGACTGCGGTTTGAGGTGGTTCCATCCTGGTTTAAGGAGACACTTGAAAAGTCATCTTTTGCAGCCCCTTATGAATATGCGGTGGAAACAGCAAAACAGAAAGCTCTTGAAGTAGCAAACAGAATGCATGTAGTAAGTTACCAGCTATTTCTGCAATGAGATTTTTGTCTTTAAGCGGTGCGTGTTACTGTGACTTAATTTGCATGTACTTCTTAGGTAGTCTCTTGAGTGCATTTTCCCCACTGAAGGCAAATGGATATTTTTCTGTCATTTGTGAAAGATAGCTTACCAAAATTAACTCACCTAATCAAAAGAAGGTCTCATGCCTGCAGTTCAGGCTTTCCACAAGCAGCAGTGGCCTGATTCTCTTGTCAGCAGCACATGTGCTCTTGTTTGGGATATATACTTGGTAGTTCCTTCCAACAGTCAGGTGTGTGGCTGGACAGTTGTTCATTCCAGGTATTTGTTGACTGCGGAGGCAGACTCTATGGAAGACCACATTGATGTGAATCCAGTGCTTTGCTGTAGCTTTCATTGAACAATAGTTCAGTTGAACAGTTGTGACAAGAGAATAGCTCAGAACTTGTGAGTATAGAGGTGCTGGAGGAAAGCAAAAAAGACAAATTCTGTTTTAAAGCGTTCTGGACAGAGAAACAGGCAATTTCATTTTAAGGAGGGAGAAGCTGACATGATTTCAGGTTCTGTAGTCAAGGCATTCATTTTGTATCCTAAATATTATCAAAACCAGTGATACCACTTATACTATCAGTGGTATTTGGACTTCTACCTTTGGCTGTGATCACTGTGTTTGAGCACATAAGGCTGTTGTCTACCAGAACCTTTTTCAAAGTCTGGGTGATTAGATCCCACGAAATATACCATAATAATTTCTTGATATTATAGCTCTGAAAGAGAGGAGTATGTTTGTTGAACCTATACTGATGGCAGAAAAAGTATGTCAAACACTTTAAACAGCAATGTTGCCAGATGTCACCATTCTTCAAAGCAAATATTGCATGATCTCCAGTGTAAATTGTTATCCAGATTTCTGTCAACTTGTCAGAGAATGGTACAGCGTTAGGAGAGTGGATTTTAAACCCAGCCTCACTAACTGATTTACATTGGGCTTTCATTGCAAAACACTATGCTGACGGTAATGCTAGTTCAGTAGACTTCAAAATGCTTCTTCACACAGGAATTTTTTTAATGATGTCTGGAATTAATTCTATTTAAAGCACATCAAAAGCCTTTCTATAGAAGAATCACCTCCCTAGAAACTTTTTAATACAATGATCACAGTTACAGACAAGTTTCCTGTCTTGTTGTGTTAAATAGTAACTATGTACCTCATAACATGCAAGTAAAACAAAACTTGGCTATAGGGACAGATTACAGTTTAAAGCCAGGAACGGCTACAAGGAATCTTTATGTACCCCTAGCTCTCAGTTCCCCACCATGGACTGTATGTGTTCCCTTTTGAGAGAGACAAGCAAAGTGTAGCTAAAGAAATTTGGCGATTTTTTTTTTTTTAGCAAAACTTGGCTTGGAAAAATGATCCTAGAGGGCTGTATTCTCTGGCTTCCATAGACTGGACACTTCCTTTAAGGAATTCTGCCTACCACCTTGAAGACTGGGCTGACTTTTGAGAATGCAGTTAGTTCTTTTCTGGATACATTTGTTCATCAGTAATGTATTTGGGCAAACTCATGACCTGAGAATGGGCTACTCGAGCCTTCAATTTTCTTCACTTCTATGGCAATATAAATGATTACTATTTTGTAAACCATGCAAAAAGAGAAACACTGTCTTGTGTTCAGGTCAACGTAGAGCTCTGCCTGTAAACCAAGAAACTTAGGTTTTCTTACCTGAAGTTTTAAAAGGTTTTGTTCTTTCTACCTCTTTTGAGAAATACCTTCTTTGTTTATGCCTTTGCAGAAACACCTGAGAACACCTGATGTTGTCATAGGAGCAGACACTATTGTGGTAAGAAGTCTTCTGTGGCTTAGCATAGTTTTAATTTGACAAGCGTAGAAAATACTTGTATTTTAGGTTTAAAGTTAAAGTTTGAAAGCTGTCTTCACTGGGAAGTTATACCTGCAATCTAATGTATCTTTTGGGTTTTAAGAGTGTGGGTTTTAAGGTTTTTTCCCCAACAGGGCAATTTTTGGTATCTTGAGTGCTAGAAGCCTTGCTGCGGTTTTTGCAGAGACACTAGTATTGCATAAGTATTGCCTTCCATCCTCTGGTATGTAATGGAAATTCTGTTCTCAGGCAACTGTTGACTGTCAAGAAGTCTGGATCATGTGAACTGTTCAATGTTTTGCCTTGTAGTGGGCATCACTTTATACCTGTCATCTCCACAGGGACAGTGAACAGTTAAGGACAGAAGTTGAATTACACTTTTGTTTGAGAGCTGCAGCCACTGGAGTGTAGAGTGTTGCACTTATTACGTGCTTGACCCTAAATTACCTGTTGTACCTAAGTATCTGTGCTTCTTGCTCTACTCAGGAGACTTGTGTTTGAAGCACTGTCTGAAATCATGGTTTAAATGTAATTTCTGACCTCAGTTTCTGAAAAATAAGAAAAAGCAACACACTCTGTCTTTCTGTTTTAGACTGTGGATGAGCAGATCCTGGAGAAACCAGTTGATAAGCAAGATGCATATAGGATGCTGTCAAGGTCTGTAGTTTTAAGTAAGATTCCAAATGTGTATATTAAGCTGTTTTAAAAGGAGCTGTACAGATTCCTTGAGGTATATGAAGAAGTCTAGGGACACACATTTTTGAATCATTTTTAAATAGTGTAAGCCAGTTCTGCCACTGAAGAAGTTAGACCTGCTTTTGTGTTACCCACAGCTGCTTGCTCTTGCCCCTTCACCTTAGGAAGCTGATCAGGGACATAATGAACCATTTTGTTTTCATTTGGATTAGTTTTCAGTCATTTATCAGAAGACTATATGTATGCTTCAGCTGGTACAGGATGGGGAGAAATGGAGAGAAATCATGATGGGAAAGAGGACAGAACCATCATAGAAGTGGTTTGAGGCTTGACATTTAATGGAAGAATATTGCATGTACAAGAAGATACATGGTGATATCTGTTCATGGACAATTGCTTTAAGTTCTATAGTTTAACTGAGGAGGAAGAATCTACTTCCATCAGTGTTCTCCATGGATGGTGGGCTGGTGTTTTTTGAGGCTGCTTCT